GCATCACGAAAAATTGCGTCACTCGTGCTTTTTTACGCGCACCTCGCGAAATGAGTTGAATTGAATGTATATACCTCCAATGAGTAAACTGTAATAAAGGGGAGCAGAATTATCCATGGGCATTAGCAATGCCCGCCGCCCCAAACTAATTGTAGCACAACTGAGTGGCCGCGTCGAGGACATCTAGCCAAGTAAGGCGGTCGGCAAAACTGCAGCTGGGCGTTAGAACTAGAACTTACAGCGGCTGTAGCTCGCTTCTCGCTCGCTGTGCAGACGAATAGAGTGGGACAGTCTCTAGCTTGGGGGCTGTACTACTTGCACAAGGAAGGACGACCATGTACTACTCGAGCGCGGGGCTGTCTTTAAGAACGGTCTGGTGCTGTAACTCAACCCACCCCTCCCCCTTTCTTCTGAGACGCCGTAGCGTCTACAACGCCTTAGCGTCTGCAGCGAAAGCGTCTGTACAAGGACTGGCTCATTTGGCGGCCCTGAGCTTAATGTCTTAGAAGCGCGCCTGATCAACGCCTAAACCACTATTCCTTTCCACTGGGGAGCGAATAGAGAAGCAGCTAAGAAATCAGGCTAAGGAGGGTGGTATGGGGAGCAAAACAGGAAAGCAGACCAGGAAGTATTAGAAGAGGTTAGTTATTGGGAAAATAAGCTCGCAGAAAAGGCTACTCTTTGGAAGGAGGACTTCTGGAGCAAATTTAAAAGAGTAACGAAAGCTACCACAGAGAGAGTATGCAAAGGTGTGATGTTCCTCGTGGAAGGCAGCTCTTTTTCTTGCCAATGAGTCAAACTACCTTAGATTCACTGCCAGGGATCAACCTTTCGGGCTATCAAAGTTACAAGAGAATAGGAACGTATTTAGGTTGTAGCTGAAGGGAATAGGAACGTATTTAGGTTGTAGCTGAAGGAGCCGGGGCTATTGGTGCAGCTGCTCTTCTTGCTGGAAATCTCCAAGAGCTAGCTGGAAAAAGGGTTGTGTGTATCATTAGCGGTGGAAATATCGACTCAACGATGGTCGGCAGGTGTATTGAAAAAGGTACCCTAATCTGTTTTGGAATAGACGCTGTTCTAAATAACTATAAAAGTAACAATAATATGATGTAATACTATAAATAAATGAGTATAAATACTACAGAATGATGTGATCAGGTTTAGGGCTGGCAGTCGATCATCGTCTCATCCGCTTTGAAGTACTCATTTCGGATCGACCGGGTGGTGTGGCCGAGTTGTCGAAGATTGTCGCGGACTGTGGTGCTAGTATAAAAGATATGACTATGGTTAGTGACTGCGTATCAGTTTGTCTGGAAGGGGTGTGTCCGGGGCGAATGTGGATTGTTGCTAGTTCGGGCACAGAAGCAGCCTGCGTGAGCGCTAGGGAGCGGACCTAATCCTGATATTTCCCGGCGACAATTCACAAATAGCCACTCATCGCTGCGCTAACAGGTGATCTCCTGGACACGCCCTCTCCAGCCAGCTGTTGAGGTCAGGGACGATTCCACAGTTTGTCGAAGGACTTTTGCTACTCGTCCTAGTAAGCACTACATAAAATACTGACGGATTCTGATGTGTTTCGTTCAGGAACGAGCTTTTCACCGGAGTGATGCTTTCACAGTGGCCGTTAGGGTAATTGCCGAGACACGGGACTCCGCTCATGCATATGAACTCAATGATGTTCTTAAGAAAAGGTTAACCATCTCTTCATTTTCTATTTTTCTCTGGTTTCCGCGGCAAACAAATGAAGATACACTTCCTGAGAGTGCGCTCATACTTTGCGTCGGCTTTTTGAGCGTATGGCAGGGCAGCGTTTCGACTGTGTGCCAGCAAACGTCAGCGCACACTAGCATTTTCAGCGCCTAGGAAAGTATAGACATCGAGACGCTTGAGACGCTGAAATAATCTTACGTGCTCTATGCTTAGAATTAATATGAACGACAGTCTTACCATAGAACGCTTCTTTACAGATATGGACCTGACACCGCCCTTTGTACGTTCCATGGTCGCCTGCCGTGATGGTCACAACAAGAGAAAAAAAACTTTTTAGAATATCCTTTGCACTATTCTATCATTTTGTTTGGGATCTCATCACCAATAAAGAGGTCTTTGATGAAACGAGGGATTCCTTGAGCGGAACTCGGCACAGTTCGGCGACAGGGGGGGGGGATTTTTGTATGGACCTCCGTCAACACTTGTTAAAGCAACGAAATATAATACCATACAAATACCGTTTACCCTGGTGAATCAACAAGCTTGTTCCAGCTTCACAAGCCTTCATAGGTTTCACCAGCGCGAGACTTGTTAACCAGAACTAATGAAGCAGCAGAAGTGCAAAACTCACCCCTTGCCCCCCCCCCCCCCCCCCCCCCCCCACTTCCCCTACCGCCGCCTAACGGCGCCGCGGAACTATTGCTTCGCACAAGTTGTTTTGTCATTATATCTCACATGAAGTGTTATCAAGAGCAGATCAGAATTCTTCATACTAAGTTTGCAGCACTTGTCCAGATTTTGCAAGAAAACTAGTAGGATAGCCTAGGGTTGCTAGCGGGTATCTAAGTCAATACGGAGCCAAACCCACTTCGGTTGCCCGTCAAGCTACTTTTTTGCAGAGAGCTTTCGAGCGTTTGTGTGCACCGCGATTCGTAACATAACAAATTCTACTCAATTCCTGAATTGATTTTCCTTCGAGGAATACCACTTCCAATTTGAACAGCGCCAGAATTCCTCGAATTCAAAATCTTCGAAAACTCGTACCCAGAGGTATTTTTGACCTGAACACAGGGTACAGCATGTGGTGTGTGAGATGGTGGTCTAGGTACAACCCCTTTCCCCTTCCCTAATACCTGCCTACCGATTTCCCTTATTTCAAGATTTTCACCCGAAGATTTTCCGTCGTGCTTGGGGGGCGATACTGCTAGCCAATATGAAAGGGAAAATCTTCTAAGGGACTTTGCCCATTTTCTAACGCACTTTTTCCCGGAGATTCCCGAGAATTTTCTACTTCTCCTTGATAATTTTTCCTGTCGAGCGGGAGGGGGGGGGCATATAGTACAAGGAAAATTTTTTTGCAGCAAACTGCTCTCAAAGGCACATGCGCGACCCCTTCCCCTCTTCCAACGACGAAATCGCCAAATATGACCCTCCTTCTCAACGGAAAAGTACACCCTTCTATGTGTCTTCACACATACGAATGCGTGTACCCTGCCCTAAACACCAAGATCCATACTAGCTGGGTCGTGAAAACGCCTGAAATGGGCGCTATGTTAGCCAGGCCGCTAAAAACAGGGCGCCGCTTGAATGGCCACTAACATCCGTGTTTTGAAGGCAAAATTGCATCTGGAAACGGGAATACTGCTGAAGCTAGGATAGAAGAGGTTTGATCAAAATCTGGCCTGAGTTTGGAAATGAGGGAGCAGGTAGTGCAAAACCTTCTCAAGTGTCAAGATATTACTGAGATTATACAGGGAGGGGGAGGGGCCAAAAAAAAAAAAGACTTTTTTCTTCCTTGACATTCGAGGCGTTGTAAGTTACACTTTATTGAATTCTTATCGGATATTTTCACCACCATATTAAAGAGCATATCAAATACTATTATGATACTCCGCCACAGCCTTCTGGAGGAGCGCCATCGAGAGATTCTGCCACGCGACCGTGAGTGGGTGCCTGAGATCAGCGAGATAGTCGATTTCTCCGCCACCGTAGACCACCCTATTGAACTCCGCCCGAACCAGGTAATTGAGGGGGTTTGGGTCAGATGACCTGCTTGAATATTCCACCTTCCTCAGGTACTCAACGCCCCTCCATTCCAAGTAGGCGAGTGTTTCTCCAACGCCCTTCGATTTCATGTGGTGGCACTCACAGGCTGCTAGCGAGTACGAAGTTTCCCGAAGAAATGTACGGTGGACCGACCATGATGGGGTGGCGATATCTTCTCGAGGGTTGCGCGGATGTAACCACCAGTTGCTCACCTTCAGGCCGCTTGCACTGCCGTAAAAAATAGTTGTTCTCTCCATTCAGGTACGTCCACGAGTCCCTACCATCAACTGGCGCCTTGGCGACTGGGGTGAAGATGATGTCCTGGACCGTAGCGACGTTGACGGAGCTGCTCGATGATGGAGGTCTTCCAGATCGAGAGTACTGGTCTCCAGGTAGCTATCCATGGGTGACTCCATACTAGAAGTTTCCGCAGCTGTTTGGAGGTGACATGAATTCCAAAGGTCTTCCCAGTCAGGCTGCGACTGAGAGATGACTTTCATACTATTTTGGTGTACATGAAGGCGATGGGCGAGCGCCAGCTCCTGCTTATAGAGGAACATCTTGGGTATCCTCCGCCCTGGTACTCGTATCCACGTTCTCTGTCTGGGCTGGCCCGCGAAAACTTAACTGTATGGGGACTCGGTCGAATGCTCTGTTTTTTTGCCCCCCCCCCCTGTAAGTTAACTTACAACAACTAGCACATCATATATACAAGATTCAACATAAAGACTCGACGCACACGTGCGCCAGTATCTCATCTCAACTCTCTTGACATATCTAGCATCTGTTCCTAAATGCCCAGTGACTAAATCACCCCAAGCTAATCGGTATTAGTGTACTTCGCCTGCGGCGGTTCGGTGTCTCTATGCGTGTCAAATGAGATGAGTTTAGCGCGGTGCCAAACCTGTTCTCCACCAGTTGTTAAAGCGAGCATATGAGGGTATCATATCTTTCGTCTTACTCGTTTTCTACCACTTTTTTTCGCACGCGCGCTTCAACAAGAAGACAGAGCACGACTTTCGACGAGGTAACACACTAACACTGAGTGACATGCCCAATCGTCCGCAGCGAACTAGAGTATACGTGCTAGTCTTTGCTCATCTCTGTATCAGCTTGATAACCATCGCGAGAGCCATTTTTGCACGATTCATCAAGGGTGGTTCTTTACTTGATGATCGCGTTTGCCACAGATGCGGTCGGTGACTTCAGATCCAGCAATGAAGTGTTGGGAGTAAGTTCTTTTACCGTAGTATGTCGACGTTGTGGGACCGTTAAACGAGATTAGGTGGTCGTCAATGTTAAGCGCTGATGTCAGTACCCGCACAACTTCAGTCGCCTTCCAAACTTCACCGCAACTTGAGACGACAACATACAATCATAAGCTCTGCAAAGATAGCGGAATGCGACGAGGCCGTAGCATTGGCTGCGTTCGCCCCAGACTGCGTTGTTTTCACAATTGGTCTCATGACATCCATATGCGCAACAAACAGGGTGGAAGCGTGCCGCCTCCATCGCTACGCTCTTTCACCACCCTAAAAATTTGCAGACAACCACGACTATGTGCCGTTTTGTCTAAGCTGAGCACTCTACGATAGGCCAACACAAGCGGTAGCTGCCAACAGCGCTACACTGATGGGGATCGTTTCTTACAGAAACACCTCTCGACAATGTCCGAGAGCCTGTATGAATACGCGAAACGTTCAGAAGTCATGTGAATCCAGAACGAGATTTCATCGCAGTCTGATTTGCAGTGTGAAGACATGATGACGCTCTGTAATGAACAAACAAGGGTGAGCATTATGGGTATGGGGCAAGGGGACCATAATACATCGCGCTAGCGGGCGTGGCGAGGGACATAGCGACAAAGCAGACGAAGTTGTCCTGCTGGCCGTTTGAATTCAATAGGGTTAGAAACTGGTCAAGGATGTACTGAGTCTGTTGTTCTCCGCCTTGAAGCGGTTTTGCAAGTTACAATCGACAGACTGATACTCATCGGAAATTTGCCGCGAGTGACCTCACCATACGCCGCATGCGACGACGCGACAAATTACGATTGTCTTGACCGTCCCTCTAGCATCACAGCAGCTGCGCTGTCCTATACAGCCTTGCCCTCTTCTAAATTTATACAATTGCTCATACCTAGGAATTGCGCTAGGGGGTCGTTGTTCTACGTAATGCTCTTCCACCGGTGGACCTGCTAAGAGAAGTCGGGAGTCGCCGCTTCAGTGCCCGCGGCAATAGGACAGCGACGTTTCCTCGGTTTGCACAGGCCTTTCAATTTGGAGCATCGGATTTCATGTAGACAAGGACAATGGTGGACACTTATGTCTATTTTTTGGTCACACATTGTCTATTCCTGAACAACACCACCTAAAACTGGTTTCTCATTAGCAGCAGGACAGACAGTTCGCGCGCGGACGCCCACTGGCGCGGCGAATTACGGGTCTCTTGCCAACATATCCTTCTTCTCCTGACCGCGAAAACATAACAGTTATTTCTTAGGTCAAATTCGTGCTTATTGCTATACGTACAACACAGAACATATTCAGGTAATCAACCTAGAAGCAATGCTTCTTCAAAAGATGGTTGAGTGCAAATGCCCTCGTCGATTGTCCAATTTGATGGAGCTGTTTGAGAAGGTCGACAACGTGGTCACTTCGTTAAAGGCCAAGATTCAAGCTCATAAGTGCCGTCGAAACCGAGGTCCGCTCGCTCTTCCGCTCTCAGGCCACACTAACCCTAAAGCAACATCAAGACAGCACTCTGTTGGTGCTCACTGTGAAAGTAACGCTTCAGGGAGAACACGAGACGTCAGTTTTGAATAGAGGTAGGATTTTGGTTGCGACAAGGTTCAATGAAACAAAAAAATGGTTTACCCTCACATTTTCAAACAATTTTGTACAGAGTTTTCAAATAAATAGCTTTCTCAAAGTGTCTCACACCACATTCATGTTCTGCTGTAAAAACAAGCAAGAGATTTCTAGGTCTACTTACGACCCTATAGTGAAAGTATATGTGTTGTTGTCCTATGTCAACTAGCTGACTTATAGTCTCGGACACACTTTCATCTTATTTGTTACTGCACCGAGCGGCATCTCTACTGTATCTAGCTGAACCCTAAGCCAAAGGGGAAATTCTGGCCCGTCGGTGTGGCAACGAGTTCAACTTCTTGTATTCGTCTTGCGTAGTCCTTGCTTCATTTTATCTTTTGCTGAGACAAGACATTGAGCGCCCTAATAATCAATAAAAGTATGCTCGGC